CAGCCTAGAGAGAGGCTTTGCCAGGCAGCCTGCCTGCCTGAAGTTGAGAGTGCTGTTGCCTGCATGAGAAATTTCCTTCCTCTGTGACAGGAGCACACATGAGTGCTCCCAAGCTCTGTTTGGATCCCTTTATACACACATGCACCAAAAGGTGGGAGAAGACAACTGTGAGGGCAAATATTGAGCCAAAAAGCCAAATTGCATTGCCTAAGTAAATGAGGAATCTCTGGCAGCCAGGAAAGTATATAAAAATATAATCACATTAACATCCATCCCTCAGGCTGTCTGGGCAAACAAAGATCTAGGGAAAGCAGCAAGCTGAGGAAATTTGGTTGTAGAAAACTGTGTGCGCACGTGCACGTGAGATGCTGTATTTTACCCATTTAGATGATCAGCATCATTATCATCTAAAACAAAAATTATAAAGAAAAGCCAAACCCAAGGCTTCCAATCTCTCCCTCTGCATCCCATCCTTCAAGGTGGCCACTGAGTAGTCACATCCGTGAGTACTGGGGAAATTTGAAATTTGAAGAGCTAATAATTTCCTCTGACTCAAAAGCAAAACAGCAAAGCAAAAACAAAACAAAACCCACTCATCATCTTTCTGAAGCTCCCTGTTTAAATCTGTTTTTCAGTCTGTGCAGCATTTGCTTACCTTGTAAACTGTTTCTCAGTGTGACTCAGGGCATCAGAAGGTATGAGCTGCAGGACCTCAAAAGATTTAAAGAGAAGGCCTGGAGAAACTGTGAAGGACTCCATGTTTGCTCAGCTTCCCTCCCAGCTGCCCAGTTAGATTTTTCAGGAGTGCTATGAAATAAGATTTGTATTTCTATTACTGGTTCACACCCAGTTGTGGATGAGTTTGTGCCTTACCATGAGAAAACATCTGGAAACTGGCTGTCACACATTTTAAGACTGGGTTGGTTTAAGACTGACTGGCTGTAAACTCTAATTTGCCCTCTTGTTCCTTGGGGTGGGCTAGCAGGGTAGGAAATTAATGAGGCAGCCAGGAAGAGGTGGCACCACTTCTGTATGTGTACAGCTTCAGTCTACGGTGGTTTCATTCCAGCACCTTTCCCTGCAGTAAATGCAGTGAATATTCTGATTCCTGTTCTAAAAGCAGCACTAAATGGGATGGTTGAATCTGAGAATATTTTCCCAGCTCCTGGAAAGGGTTAGACACACAGCCCTGAGGTGGGCGAAGTGTGTGATTGCCATCAAACTAAGCAGCCAGGTTCAGCTTGTCTTGGATTTCTTTATATGAGACAAGGGATGATTCATAAAAGCAAATGCTGAGGCCACACAGTTTGTCAAGGCCCTAGTCTAACCAGGTGTAATGATTGAGGTTTTGCAGAGATGCAGTTAAGGCAAAAAAATAAGAGATCATGGGTCAAATCCATCCCTGAGGCAACTCCAGCATCATCAGTAGGTGTTACCCACGTGTGAATCTGGCCCCATGTTCCTCACTCATACAATAGAGCAAGATCCCTCCTGCAGCAGAATCAATTGGAAAAAGGAAAAGGGAAAAATGCTTCTTTCTTGACCACATTAAAAATAATCACTTTTTTGTTGCACAATGGGGCAGAGAAAACCAGTCCTAGAAACCAGAGTTCAATTTCCTCAGCATGTCACGGGGAGGGGAGAGAGGGGGGAAATTGGCATAACCAAGAGGTTTCTTTCATCTCTGTTCAGTTCGAAATGATGCAGGGAGCAGGGGAAAGCACCTAGATATCTATATCTATCTACATCTACATAGATAGCTAGATGAGAGTTCTCCTCTTCCCTCTATCTGTATCTATAATCTAAACATACTGTATTGATATCTGTAGATAACTACATTGCTTCTACAAACACAGAGTGATTTGAAAAAAAAAAAAAAAGACTATATTTCTTCTGTTAATTAGACTGGATGTTTAAAAATAGTGAAATCAGAAAGGTGAAATATAATGTTTAGTGTCTCAGCTTTTCCTTCCCATTTGGAGGTCAGGTGTGTTTGTGAGCTCTATGGGAATGCAGAAAAGTCATCTGAGAGAGAAAATTGCTATTCAATAAAAATTACTCATCATTCTTTCGCACTAAACAAACACCACTGAGAGATTTTTAGTTATGCAAAGGTGGATTTTTTTGTTCTTTCCCCTCTTCCCTCTCTTCTCCAGCTAATGATACAGATGTGCAAAATGCAGCATATGACATCCTACTGAGCATTAGGTGCAGCATTTTGCAGGTGACAGGATCCAGGTCTGAGTCCAAAATAAAAGCACAATAGCCTGAAAATCATCTACTGCACACTGCTAGCATATTACAACCTAAATGGCAGGAAAAGCAATTCATACAATCATAGAATAATCTTTCCAGCAAAATTTTGTATTACTGCCCCAGTGAGTCCTCTCTGAGACTGTGGCCCTGGTGCAACTGCCCACTAGAAGAGCAAGCAAAGTAATCACATGAGACAAGGTTGGAAGAAAAAGTTACCACTTGATTTGGAATTCTTACACCTAGGAAACTCAGAGTGCTTGGGACCTCTCTAGTGGAAGAAGAAACTAGTAGCCCTGCATTCCTGGGCTCACTGGGTACCTGTCTGAAAATGGAGGACAAGGAATTATCTGTAATGAAAAAAATCAGTGGCAGCCCCACTGTATTTAACTATGCTATTAATGTATATTTTTAACAAATAAAAATCAGGATGATTACCTTTTCTGACTCAATTTCACTCTGGGCCTCAGAGCACAGGTAAGAACTGTGCTGACAGGGTTGGTATATTTTGTCATTGCTCCAGCTGGAGATTTCCTAGCCCACATGGGGTGGCTGGGCTTTCCTCAGGCTCAGCTGTTAAGCCTCGGCCTCCAGGAGTTAACTCCCAGTTCTTCAGCATTCTTGTTTTCTTCCCTTGAGAGAGAAATTTGCCTTATTTTGAGCCCATGGCAAACAACTTTCTTGTGACATGGCTATGGATCCTTCACCTCTGAAGAGGGCCCCTTTAATTTATGTTTAATTTATTCCCTGGAGTAAATTTGGACCCTCTTTGCAACAAATCTTTATCTCTGTTCTGTTCCCCTCTGTTTTTTTCATGTGTCTGTGAGCACAGCAGACATCATCTAAAGCAAACAGAAGCACAATGTAGTTTTTATTATTGTTCTTGTAATAAAGTAACTAGTAACTATGCTGAAATTCATCTTTTTGGGTCAGCTGTGCTCATTCACATTACAAAACATGAGAGCCTCTCCAGAGCATTTTTACTACACTCATAAAGAAGTAATGGAAAACCAAGAATGATTTCTAGAGAAAGGATAGCATGAAGCGTGAGCAAAGTCTGGCTACAGTTCTGCTCCTGATCTCTTCTCTGGACAGAACAAAGTAGGACAGTGCACTTAAAATACATCTATTTTACAATGAGACTAATGGTTGCTTTGCTGCTGTGATATTAAAATTCTGTCCCTGAGCTTTAGGATTAACACCCTGTGGGAAGCACCTTGAGGAGCTCTGCGGCTGTCATGGGAGCACTGCCCACACCAGCATTGCAAACTGCTGTGGCTGCTGGCTTCTACATCACTGAGTGTTTTGCCTTGAAATATTTTGCCTCTAGAGAAGACACAGTGGAATTTTCTGAAGCAGAACTTGGCATTACATAAATCTGGTGTTTTGACACTGATATTTTTAAGCTTGCGTAATTCACTGAATTCCACCCGAGTTTTTAATTTCAATACCTCAGAAGCATCATTTGTTGGTCAGTTTTAGGCTTCTTCAGAAAGATTTTTTTTTTCCATTGCTCCATTCCCCAGGAGTCCCAATGGAGTTTCTATGGAGGATCCTCAGTATGAGAGGCTGGTGATGACATGGGTTTTGTCAAAAGTGATTATAAGGATCGTGCTGTAAAGTTGCTGTTTTGTGGCCAAAACATGCCCTTGCAATTATCCACCAGCAATAGCTCCTGGCATCTGTGGGAGAACACAGCCTTGCAATGAGGTGGGTTAGTACTAATTACAAGATGTTTATTCAGTGTAAGTAAAATACACTGTATTTTACTCATTAGCACCTAAAATGGCACATGCAATTGGAGCAACATACTAATCCAAATAGGGGATTACAGCTAAGCAGGGTGCTGAACTGTCTGCAGATAATTTATAGCTAACCAAGACGCTCATTTACCCTGGTAAGAGCACGCACCCACCCCGCAGTGCTGGGAGGGAAGGATCCCATCACACTTCAGAGAAGTATCTTTTCCTGCAGCAAACACATCAATGCCAATAAAGTCAGATAACATAGTAGAAGACCCAGCCTCTTTATTGGCATTAATATGTTTGCTATAGGAAGAGATACTTTTTTGTTTACCCATTTAAGGATACAAGGGCCTTTCTCAACTCAGCTTTCCTTCAGCTGATCACCTAATAACACAGTAAATAATAACACCTAATAATCACAGTAAAAATACAATCTATTTTCTCATGTGTTGTGTTTGCTGAATCTTTCCCATGTCCATAATCAGGGCTGATCCCCAAGTGGTTTATAAGAGATTTATTATGAGATCATAGGCTGGTTTCATAAAACTCACACCCAAGTGAATGGACATTTTAATGACTGATGAAGCTTGAAATGATTAGGAAACAGTGTCAGCTCAACCTGAAATGGTTATTATAATCCAAGATTAAAATGTTTTCTCAGCAGTTAGTGCTATTGAAGTTTATGTGTACGTTCATCTGCCAACCCCTTACTGTGCATTTCACCAAGCTACCTGCAAATCAGATGGAGAGCACTGTGAGCTCGTTGAGCCTTTTAATTGCTATTGAAAATGACTGAGGAAGAAGCAGACCAATAGAAAAAGAGGGTGCTGGGCTTATTAACCCACAGGTGAGATCTTTTTCTGTGTATCAAGATGGAGGGGAGGCTATGAAAGGAGGAATGGGAAACATTTTTGTTAGAAACGATCATGAGTAATTTGGGCCAAAAAAAAAAAGAAATTGAGCATTGAAACTTGTAAAAAGGTAAGAGTGACTGAATGGCATGAGAGGCTATGAAAGGAGGAATAGGAAACATTTTTGTTAGAAACATTCATGAGTAATTTGGGACAAAAAAAAAGAAATTGAGCATTGAAACTTGTAAAAAGGTAAGAGTGACTGAATGGCATGCATTCATCCACTTGGTTTACAGTTTTAAAGAAAAATGTAGTACCTATTTGAATTTTAATCTGTTGTTTTTTGGTTTTTTGACAATAGTTTTACTTCTCTTGGTCTAAGAAATATTTTTGGAGTAAACCTCATTTTGCAGGGAGCTGTGGAGCTTTGTTTTGTACTTTAGCATTTAGGGCCCAATGCTGTTCTGGTGGAATAACCTGAGCTTTCTGCTAGATGCCCACCAAGTTACTCTCTTGCTTCTCTCCTCAATGGAGCAAGGGAAGAAGACAAAGTGTAAAAAAATCTTATGGGTTGAGATAAAGACAAGGGGATTACCTGCCAATCAGCATCACCAACAAAACAGAATGAATTTGTTTTTTGGTGAAAATAATTTAATCTATTTTCAATTTAAAAACAGAGAAGGAAAGTAGGAAATAAAACCACCCTCTCCACCTCATTTGTGCTCCCCAGGCTCAAACTCACTCCTTCACTGCCAACTCTTCCACCCTTCTGATATTTCTCACAGGGAGATGGGGAGGGGGGAAGTTGTGGTCAGTCCATAACACTTTGTCATTGCCACTCTTGCACTGCTCCAGCATGGGCTCCCTCCCATGGCATGCAGAAACTGCTCCCGTGTGGCACCAGCTCTTCAAGAACAGCTCCAGCATGGGCTGCAGCTTCCTTCAGGGCACAGGGCCCTGCTGCAGGGTGGCTGTCTGTTCCCATGCTGGCCTTCTGGCCTGCAGGGGAACAACCTGCTTGGACATGGCCTTCTCCATGGGCTGCAGGGGACTCTGCTCCAGCTCTTGGAGCACCTTTTCCCCCTCCTTCATCGCAGACCTCAGTGCCTGCAGGGCTGTTTCTTCTGCACTTTTTCCTCACTCCTTTCCCTTGTAGCTGTTGGGCAGTGTTTGTTACTCCTTAGATGTGTTTTCACCAGCATTACTGCTGGGTTGAGTTTTTGCTCTCTCCTTTTTGGATCTGGCTCTGTCAGGTATTGGGGCAGCTCCTGGCCTCTTGTCACAGGGGTCACCCCTGCAGACCACCTCCCACTACCACACTGTGCCATATAAACCAAATGTCCTAATTCACTCACTATGGTTTTGTGATTGAGGAGGGGGGAGGAAATCCTGCAATCATGTACATATCTGTTCTGTGTTTATGCTTCACTACATTTAGTCTCTTGACTAAACACATGTTCTTGTGCAAGCTCTGTAAGCTTGTTTTATCAGCTGCTTCTTCCTATTAAGTGTTCATACTAACAGGCATTGCTATGCAGTGAAATCTCATCATAGTGTTCTGGGCTTTTTATGTGGCTGGTCACTGTGCCCTAACCCTAGATGTATGCACTGAATAACCACATTGTTCATTTATAATGTCCTTGGCTTTTCTATAGCCTTGTCCCTATGATATTACTTGTGGACACAGTGGGCTGGATTGAAGACAGTGAAGTTAAAAGTGGTGATGTATGCAGCTATGTAACTGTGAGAAGAAATGTATTGATTCCCCATACCTCCTTTTCTAACCTGCTGTAAGGTGTTTCATCATGTAGGACATCATGGAGCTCTTATATTTGTTACTTAACATACATTGAAAGGTCTGACTTCTCTTCCTTGCTGGCTGTCTGAATGGGAAAAGCTGTTGTTAACATGTCTTGTGTGTCAGAGATCAGGCTGCTCATGATAGCTCATGAAGCTTTGAACGTATATAGTAATAGAGAGGCATGGCAAACTGTTACATTAATGTAGCCCAGGCACAAAAAGTGAAACTATTGACCTTGCCAGCTCTGCATTTGGGGCAAATGTTACTGCAGTGAACAGAGTAACTTTAGCTGATGCTAAACAGAAGTTGTTTTGAATTTTGGTTTCTGTATTTATCTATGGTATAGATAAATATGAATGTCGAGAAGGGCTGAGCAAATTGCTAAAAATGGCTGTAATTTTGCACGTCAAAATTTTTTTGTGAAGACTTGTAGACAAAGAGGCCAGTAATGAAATAGAAACAAGATTTTTTTCCATGGGTTCCTAAGTTACTGAAAAAGTGTTTGTTAATCAACTTCCTTTTCTGAAATAATACTCTTTTAAATCAACAAAACAAAAAGGCCTTTGCTCTTGCCTGGCATGGAATTGGTATTCCCCAAATGGAACCAGCAGGTATCCAGTAGGTCATTCAGCACAGCTTCTGACCTCCCTCAGAGTAAAGATCCTAAGACTTACAGTGGCTGCTACCTGGAGTATATAAAAGACACTGCAAAAACATATGTCAAGAGATATTAATAAGGATGTGTTGGGAGGTGTCTGTGAGATACAGGGAGAAGCAAAGTGTCTAGCTGCTTTCCATTCCTTCCACCCAAATCCAATATCAAAACCAGCCTTGCAGGGCAGTGTATAGGAAAATACAGCTTATCAATAGGCTGCTTCCCAGAGGTGCTATGTGCCACCCCAAGGCCCCTACTTCATGGAAGTAACTCTTGCCCCACAGTTGATGTACATGGTCTTTCTCTGTGTGCAGCTCCAGCAGGGGATGAAGATACTGGGGGCAGAGGTGCCCAGACCCCACACTTGGCCAGCCAGCTGTGGGTTTGTGTGGCTTGCATTGCTTAGGACAGCCCAGAAACTCTGTCCCTGCTTCTTCCACAAGGGAAAGCCTATGCAGCTGAGCCCTGTGCTGTTTCCCAGTCCCGGGCCAAGAGTCCCAAGCAGTCTCCACTCAGCCCCTGGCATGCGGGTTCCTCGGGCGCAGCGGCACAGGGAGCGTTCCGGGGAAGCCCGAGCGTGGCCATTAGTGCTGTGCTGACAGCAGCTCTGTGGATAACGAGAAGCCCTTCTGCCTCACTGCTATTAAACCGCTGCCTTTTCACGAGAGGAATCCTGAATCTTTCCTCAAACCTAAACAAAAAAGTCAGTCTTTTATTCGTTTCATCATTATCTAGGGCTGCCACATTCAAATGATGCTCCAGCAGTCCCTTCATTTCCGAGTGCACACGTCGAGAAGGGATTGGAAGCCTTTTGATTAAGAATAAGAGGTGATGACACTACAACCAGTGCAGGGTTGTCATCATTACCATGTACCTGCACTTCCACAGAGCTCTCGCTCTGGGTTGCCTCTGATATAAAGCTGCTGTACTCTGTGCCCTAATTGAATGGAACTATTTTATAAACACGCATTCCCTGAATCCCAGAAAAGATCCTTTTAGAGGGGAAGATATGGGGAGGGTGGTGGGGAGGTGAGGAGCTAGATGGGCTCAGTTCCTGGCAGACCAATTTTGTCTGTGAGAGAGATTTCTTTGTTCTCTGCAAAACTGCTTGTCGTCTACGAGCAGATATCGTGGGGTTTTATTCCCCTGCAAGTCAAATGAATGATCTGACCACCCACTTTTAATCCTGTGATTTTCTGCTTTTGGCCTGGATTACAAGTCACCTATGGCCACCTTTAGAGCATAACAGGCTCTAAGTTTACACAAGGCACCTAAGGGAAAAACATCCCTTCCTCCCTGGCCCTGTTTAACTGTTCACATCTGATAATTTAACTGAGTGGCTTGGTCACAGTAATGACCTTTGGGTAGCAGCTCAGGGAGGAAACCTGCTGTCTACCCACCAGGATGCTCTCGTATGTCTTGTGAGGTTGTATTCATGTTGCATCCTAAACCCACACTGCTGACTGTGGGAGTGACACTCTGCAGAGACTTGTTAAGCAGCATCCCTCTTTTCAAGCACTCTGTGCTCTGTCCCTCTTTTCACCACACTCTGGAATACCCACTGGTGATTTACTGTTTTCCAGGTTAACTTTCAAGTGCTGATTTTGACCCATATTCCTGTCCTGGCTATTTCTCTGTTCTTGTGTGACACAACTGCAGCTGCAGCAGGTACAAGTGCTGCACCTGAGCCTCGAAGGATGCTGGGCCAGTGCCTTGGTGCAAACTTGTCCCCCAGTTGCAGTTCAATAGTTAAACTAATTCTCTGCTATCTCTGTGTTTAAAGGTGAAAGGCTTTTATTGTTAAACAAGCTTTCCCTGGAGCCTAGTTTTAGTAAGAATACTCTAAAACTGCTGTATGAAATTATATTAATAGACAACAAAATTACAGCCAATTTCTGGTACTATTTCAATAGCTGTGTATGAAATTTACTGCATAAGGGATGTTGAGTTAAAAGTGGTCAGAGGAGCTACTTTTATCTTGGCTTACATATAGCATTACATTTACACCTGAACACAGGGTGAATTATCATCCAGAGGAGTTGAGAAGGAATCTCTTTTCTCTGGGAATGGCAATTATATTTGATTAGGTACATGGGAGCTTTTTCCTCTCCTGGCCAAGGAGCTGAGGGCAGTGCTTTGAAGACACCCAGCTTCATGATCAAGGTGTAAAGCATAATGACAAATGTGAAGTTCCTGCAGGGTCAGAGTCAGCTACAATAGTTCAGGGGAGAGGGCATCGGACTGGGACTTAAGAGGCTTGACTCGACTGCCCTGTTCTTCCACTGGGCTGCAGGACAAATCACTTCCTTTCTGTGCCACAGTTTCCTTATCTGTGAAATGGTGGTAATGAGCCTTTCTTCTTCATTTCTCTTTGTAATCGCTCCAAGAGCTGCAGGTAAAACATGCTATACAAGCACTTGGTATTACTGTGTTTGATTTGTGGGATTTTTCTGTGTGATATCCTAACGCAAGCAGTTGTTCCAGATTTGCACACATGAGCTCAAGGACTGTGGTGTTTGTCATCCTGCTGTTAACAGCTCTTCCCTGAAATCATTTGGATGTAAAGGTAGTACCCTGGGTTTGTTTTTGTTAGGATATCTGCAGCCTGCAATCTTAGTGCAACAGGATTTGTTAGTGAAGCATAGCCCTCAAACAAAAGCACCCAGAGGATGTGCCTTGTCAGGTGCTCTCCTTTGCACAAGGAACCCCCAGGTCCTTTTGCCTCTGGTATCTGCTGGTCCCCCGTTGAGAGCCCTCCATGCCTGTGGTCATCAACAGTTTGCCAGCATGAGGAGG